TTTTCCTAAATAGTGGAGCAGGTACACAGAGCTGATCAGGCTCTGCATCCCCCTCTTGTCCACAGCTTCATTGCGTGTGGTAGAACAAGAGGGCCACACGCCCCTGCTCCAAACCAAAAGGTTCCCTGTGAGTCCAAGGGCTTCACACACACATGTTTATGTGAGTACAGTATGTATATAAATATACAGTATGTGTGTGTGCATGTGTGACAACGCAGGACTGCAAGACATGTTGCGAGAAGTGTTGCAAATAGGTTGCATTGCTGTGATTTCATCCATACCGCCCTCCGTGGCATGTGTTTTTTTGAAGTTTGGGTTTTCTTCTGGTCTTTGGCCCTTTCCACTATCCAGCGCAGGTCTTCTTGAGGCGAACACCCGTCAAAGGAAGTTTCTGCGTGTACTTGTCCAAGACCACACGAAGCACAGCGGATTCCCTTCGGCGGTTGCTCTCAAGCATCTTCGGCACCTCCGATGTATATAACCAACTGTTCAAAAGGCATTTGTTCAACTTGTAAACCCACACCAAATGCAATGCCAAAAGCAGCTGGGAGACAGTAAACTCCAGTTATTAATTATGTTTATTATGCTTTAACCGCATCAATTTCCGCATCAATCTTCACATCACAGAGCTATGTCTTTGGCCTGGGGCTTCATATCCGGCTTGACACGATCCAAGAGCTCTTGAAGCCTAGACCAAGACTTTCCCATTGGACTGAAAACGATCAAGTAGTCTGCAGGTGGTGTTCAGGCATCCATTCTACAACAACCTCTTCAAATATACACAAGCCTAGCCCAAACCCTTATAAGTTATGAGCCCTGATCTCAAAAGGATCAAAGGCCGGTGCGCTGTGGCCATCACTTGGCGCAGCACGGTGTCCTACAGCGGCTTCACGTGGGGAGCTCGTGACGTCGGGTCGTGCGCTGAGATCTTGGAGACGAAACGACATTGGAAAGGGAAAACAGTAGACTTGGTGAGTAGATGGTATACGGATCAAATGGCATATACCTCCAAAACATAAGGTATCAAATGATTTTGAAAGAAATTGTACTGTCATGTGTTGTCCGGCTCTTCTTTTAACTCGAAATTCAGGTTCGGCGTGAAACGTTTGCATAGGCATATGGGCACTCATTTGTGTGCTTGATTCGGAACACTGCAGAGCTTCTGGATGTACCTCTTCACATGGCTCTCACTGACCCGTAGTTTAAAGCCACGGACTTGGGAGAAGAGGAAGAAGACATAGGCATTGAGCTGGTGGCAGTTCTTAAATGAGCGCCAGCCGATTTCTTTGAACCAATCTGCAAGTCGGATGGGTCGATCTGAATTAAATGCATGGGCTAAGAAAGCCATGTAGCAAATCAAGTTGAAAGCGTCCCGCCCACGCTCTCTCAACTCTGGCTTTGCTTCAACTTGACTCTGCAAATCCTCCAGGTAGACCAGGGTAAGCGCCAAATCCAAGGCCATGTCACAATGATGCACCTGGTATCTAAAAAGTATGTAAGCCAGTGTCACGCTAATGAGGCGATGGTCGTGCCGGTACGCGAAGACCTCAAAGACGCCCAACTTGGAGACGAGCTCATGAAAATTGTAGGCCAGCAGTGCACACTCGTTGGAGTAGGTGTACTTCACGAAGAAGGCATAGTTACCTCAGGCTCGTGGCAAAAGCATCCTTTTACAGTACCTCGTTCTTCACTAGAAATCATCACACATCATGGAGACACACGAGCACATTGCACAGCCAGGCAAGTGCAGCGAACCATCAAGCATTATCATTATCAAACACACAAATCGGAAAGACATGGAAAGACTGAATTTCCCACATGTCTCACAGAATTGGGAAAACCAGATGTTCCTTGCGAGTGGCTCATGGATGCATCTGCCTCAGCTCCCTGAGCCTCGCTTCCTCCATCCGCCTTGGTTTCACGCGACTTCCGCTCAGACCGCTCCGGCCGCTCGGGTGCCTCAGTTCCAGCGGCACTACCGGCTGCACTGGAGGCAGACGGCATGGCACTGGCCCACGGCAAAAACGGTGGGATCGTCCAACCAGGTCTGTCAGCCACCCTTGTGAGATGGCTTAGCAGCTAAGCAGATTGATTTCCCGGCCATCTTGATCTGGGAACGGGGAGTGGAATTTGGATGAATCAGGAATTTTGTAGCTCAGGACTCAGGATGTCTTTTTCTGGAGGGTGATCTTCTCTCTTATGGGAAGTGAGACCCACCAGGCACGAAGTCGTTTGTGCTTCGGGCCAATAGCTGTCAAAAGCAAAGTGTCCTACATCTGGCTCGTGGCTCAAGCGCCTGGGTTCAATCGCACGCCAAATGAACAATCAAAACACCCTGAAGCAAAAGAGAAGCCGCTGCAAAGTGTTCATTCGCCTGGCTGTCGGGTGGCTCTTCTGCAGTCTGCCTGCAAAGTGTGGATTCCCAAGTCACGCTCACCACGTTTCAGCGTGTCACGCCTGGCTGAAAAATCCGGAAACCGTGCCCTCTTGGGAGGGGGCAAGGGCCCAGGCAAGACCGTAGGTGGCCTGGGGCGTGATGGGTGAAAGGGCGAGGACGATCTCGAGTCACTCGTGTCCTCGTGCTCAGTGCAAAGTGCAGTTATTATAGTTATTTTGGCAGGTGCACACCGCTATACGTTCAAGTGCATGTTTGCAGGTTCAGCGTGCACCTGGGCTATGTGAAAATTCTACAGCTCTTATGCCAATCAGCCTCTGCACGCGTGGTAAGTATGTATCTCTATCTATCTATCTATCTATCTTACTATCTTATCTATCTATCTATCTATCTAATTAATCTAATCTACTAATCTATCTATCTATCTATCTATCCATCTATCTATCTAATCTAATCTAATCTAATCTAATCTAATCTAATCTAATCTATCTATCTATCTATCTATATACGTGTGTGTGTGTGGTGAACTGCTGATGCCATAGGCAACGGCTGAGGGAATCTGAAACATGCAAACTTTGGCCTGAGCGGCGGGTAGAAGGGATTCACGTGCCTCAGTGCAAGAGCCACCCTCCAGATCAGAAGCAATGAGTTCTAGATGCCTACACATCGTTGGCAATAGAATGAAATGTGCTGCATCACCGTGATTTATTGTAATACATGTATATATATAGTATATATGTCTTTAGACAGTATGTGGTTTCATGATGTTTCTTGTAGTTTCCGAGTTTCTCAGTGGTTGTCACCAACATGCCCCAGTCTCGACTCCAAGGGTCATGCTCCTCAACTCTGGACCTCTTGGACGGTGTCCCGGGACTTAGGCGCAACGGCAGAAGTCCAAGCGAACGCCACGAAACAATGGAAATCGGGTTGCTCAAAAGATCCGGAAGTCGGCATTTGTTGCTGCAAATATGGGGAGTGAAGTGCTTGGAATATGTCGTTGAGACACTCTTGGACACAGAAGTGTCCAGCCGCGGTTCGAGCATAAAATGATCCCACTCACCCTCTCGCTCTCTCTCTCTCTCTCGCACATTGCCACTTGCTTTGCATCCGTGACCTTCCCTCAACCTCCTCAACCTTGAGCACACCGAACCAAACCACCTGCTTGTGCCATGCCTGCTTGTGCCGCTCTGAGGGCGTGACTACCTTTTGAGCTTTGGGGGCCCATCAGGCCACATGCGCCTCACTTCGGATTCAGAACGAGGCCAAGGCAAATTCTGTTGGATTCAGCGATTTGAACCATTTCAGGTGTTTCACACGAAGAAAACCAACCCCCAGACCCTTCGGAAGGGGCAGTTGCTGGACAAACTGGCCCAACACATTCAAAACTCAACACGGCGGACGTTCTTTTGCAGCCTGCTCTTTGTTCGAAATTGTTCTACACATTCTACATCTCTCGATGCTACCTTCAACCAGTTCTTGGTTACTGGTGATGCGGCTCACTTCCTCATCTGAGAAATATGCAGCGAAATCAGGCCTTGGCACAGCACGGCAGGAGGTAAACCAGGGTGGCCACCAGGAAGAGGCAACGAAATCGACTGATTACCGAGTCACTGTGAAGCAGTTCTCCAGCTTGTATTCATGGAAGTGTGCCTGGCCTGGATCAGCAAAACATGACGACCCGGTGCACTTGATCACTGGTTGCCGCTGCCTGAGCAAAGCTTCACTCCCTGTCCCAGGCTGTTCTGGGGGTATTTGACGATCAGCGGGCTCCTCAAGCAGAGCAGGACACTGGGAATGGCAGTGGAGCAGTGGAGAAAACGTCAAGACCACACGCAATTACTGCCAGGGGACTTTTCCGGGCAGCCCACATAGGCGGAGCTTGTGGGATCGCCGCACACGCGGTACTCCACCTTGTGGATAGCACAAGCAAAATCACAAGCATCATAAAGAAGGGGATGCTTTAGATCTGGCCTTCGCACCGCCCTTGATATGAAAGATCACCAAATCTAAAATGGACAGCTTCACCATGTCGCCACCAGAGTCGGAGTATTTACTTCCAAACCTCAGTGAGGAGGAGCCTTGTCTGACACCCCCTCCTGAAAGAATTCAACAAAAAATAGGGAACAAACACATTGCGTTGCTTTTTTTGAGGCAAGCAGTGGCCTCCAACCTAATAGCGATGGCCTCCAACCTAGTATTTTGCAACAACCATGCACAGCCCACCAATGTACCTGCCGACCTTGGACCTTTGATTTCGCAGCCACGGTGCATTCCAGCGATCCGAAACAGGTCTTCGTCGCCTGACCACGGTGCATTCAGGCGTCGCTTCCCCCCGACACGTCGGCGTCGAACTGCGCTACGGTGCAATGGCCCCGACCAACACGGGGAAGGCGCCTGCGATGGGAAAGCGAATGACCCCCTGCGGGTCTGCCGTGGTGGCGAGCAGCTCTCCACAGCTCTCGCCAGGATTCGCGAAGGTGGCATTGTAGAAGGTGATAGACTGAAAGTCTGTGAAGCCGCTCCTGGGCGTTTTTATCTGCTTTAACTCTTGTTGCTTGGTACCACGTACGAATGCGTGGTCGACCGACCTACCCGTGGGTCACGTCCAACTGGTGCATTGGGCTGCAACCGGGCATCTCTTCTTCTGAGCAGCTGGCACTTGGCCAAGTGAAATGGAAACGGCCATAGGCCATGCTGAGCTCTGGAGCCACCAAAGAGGAGCCGGTGTGAGTGTTGATGAACTCCACCAGTCCTGAGCCGCGATGCAATGCGATGGATACGGAACAAGATTGGCCCAGGAAAAGTGCTCAGGAAATTCATGGAAATCCACCTGGAAAGCATTGCACAGGACTCACAGGACCCCCATGGACCCCAACTCCAAATCATCGTTCTCCGGCTGACAGACCGCCCGTCAGGAGCCACGCCCCAAAAAGGGACCACAGATTCCCCCCTTCCCCCCACTCCTTGCGCATCAAGGCTGACAGCAAAAACGAAGCCCTTGGCTGCTATGCCAGTTTCCGCCTGTCATGGTGGAAAAATTGCCCCACACGCGAAGAACAAAGCTCACAGCATGTCCCATCCTTGTACTGAGAGCGCGAGCTGGAAGAGGGAACAACTTGGAACCTCACTCCAAGCAATCGTCGAACGAAACAAATGTGATTACAGTATTTGATATTCGTCAGAACTCACATGATTCATGCTTCGATTTACTCAGCATCTCAGCATATCTCAGCCATAGACACAAAGTCATTTCCAAGCCCTGATGAGATGTCACTGCCCGCCGTCGACGCTGGAGCTGGCACATCCGCCTTCGGCTCGACCGGCGCCGCCAGCGGCGGTGCCGGTCGGAGCGGCTCGGCCAGGAGTGTCGTCAAGTAGACCTCGATGGCCACCTGAGGCGACAAGGCCAAGGCAAAGGCGCATGCCAAAGACATCCGGGCGACAGAATGAGCCCCGTTCGTAGCGTCCATGCTCCCACTAGTAAGGCCAGGAGCCCCTAGTAGCGTCCTTGTGACAAATGTATACAGTAGTATAGATCCTTGGCATCTTCCTTGTATCTCAACTCTTCAGAACTTCACACACAAACCTCCCCACAAAACTCGCTGGATACAAAATGAGACAACCATCCGCTTCATGAAAGAGTATGTGCAAGCCATGTGCTTGTCCCCAGGTCTTCTCCATACGTCAAGTTGACTCTCTGATCCCAGGACGTCCCAGGACCAAGGGTGTTAGGTTGGGAGGGATAGCTTGTGCAGGTTCGAATCGGGGCCCCTGACAACTCGACCCACGCGGCCCCCTTGGAGAACTCTTGGCTCAAAACTCTGGGCCAAGGCTGCTAAGGCCCAGATGATTGTTTCCAATAGCTTCTTGTTACTAATAGTAAGGCACTTGTTACTAGAAGAAATGCACTTGTTCCTAGTAGCTTATTGTTTCTAATAGCAAGAAGAATTTAACACAAGGATTTGGGATGTTAAAGTTATATTTTGGCCCCTCGAGAACCCCCTGAACAGGGAAGGTCTGTGAGGAGCGCCTCAGACTGGAGCGCAAGTTGTGTGTGTGTGTGTGGGATGTTAAAATTACAGTATATTTTTTCTTTGCTTCCAAAGGCAATGCAATGGCCTCCAACCAGCAATGGCCTCCAACCTACTAGCGATGGCCTCCAACCTACTACGAGCAGCGATGGCCTCCAACCAATTGCAAACTATATTAGAGTCTACTAGAGTTTTGAGGGAGGATGTTCAAGTACCTTTTGGGCTTCTCGGCTAAAAGCAAATGAGACTATCTTGAGCCCAATTTGAAACACAAGTTCCAGTACAACTTCAACGGTGGCAACCTTGTCCTTCACCATCTTCACTCACTCAGTCCCTTCCGTCAGGGCTCACTGGCTGCCCGGAGGACCAACGTCGCTGCCTGCTGCTCAGCGGTGGTGAGATTTGCCATGAAGGCAATCCTTCGCAGTCGCATCGGCTGCCGGACTCAAAGGTCCCCAACTGAAGTATTTGAAAGTTCAATGTGCAATTGAAAGCAGTAACAAGTGCCACGCTAGTAGTAACAGGTGCTTTACTAGTAGTAACAAGAAGCTATTAGTAACAAATGCCACGCTAGTAGTAACCAATAGAACCATTGCTGACATCCACCTAGACGTCCGTGGGGTTGCCCCGAACAGTCGGAGACTCCTTGGCTGCGCGTCCGCCAGGCCAGCTTCTAGGCATGCCTGCGCCAGCATCCCAATTGCTTCCTGGGAACATCACATGGAAGGCTCTGGCAAGTGACTTCAAATCACTACCTTTGACTGCCATGGGAATGTGGGCTTATGATTAGAGATGGCCTGAAAAACGGCACTTACCACGAAGACTGCACACCAAGAAACAAGGGTGGAGATAGATGCTGCACGCTTTAAATAGGCCTCTGCCGCTGCGGCAGCGATGTGCACCTTGCACCAGAAAGGGCCCTTCAAAGCAGAAAATGTGTCGAAATGCCAAGTGATTTGCCAACTGCCGGTATACACACCGGCAAATATATATATATATCATATATATGTTTTTTTAATGTGTGTGTGTGTGCCCTGGTGCAAATGGGTGGGAATCGCAACGTTTACCTGACACAGCCCCTTAGCACTCACCCTCTGTTACTCACAAATCCTGTTCAAGGCCAAGTAGATGCGAACCGCTTAAGCCAAAAATGACAGTTAAAATATGTTAGATACATAAAATGATTTGCAATGCTATCTGCCAGCCTTTGTCACAACCAGTCTTAATTGCAGTCGGAGTGGCTTTCTCTACGGCGCTGACGGGGGATTTCTCCAGCTTGGCAGCGACTGCATCCAAAACCCCTCGCGCATCAGGATCAGAGATGTCTGCCTGCGCCCGAGGGTGGCAGTCATTGAAGCTCCAAGAAGAGCCCAACTCAATACAACTTATAACTTGATATGCGATAAGCTACCTCCGCAAGTGCAAAACCAAAAGAATGAACTGCCTCTACTGGTAGTGCCGCTTGAAAACAAACATTACATGCCAGGGCACTGTTGGGATGTCCAGGGGTGTGGCGCTGGCCATGATGCCAGCAGCTTTCAACACATCAGTAATGGCTTCTCTCAGCAACCTGGGCATTCGACCATCAGGTCTGGGGACGACACTGCAACAGTGTTGCAAGAAGAACACTGCAAGTCATACAATCTGGCACACATACAACCTGGTTTGAATACAAACCATCTGGTACATCAGGTCATGCGAGTCATACACATACAATCTGGTTTGGGTGGGCCAAGAAGATATATCTCATTTCCTGGACATTCCTCTCGCGAGTCTCAGGACTGCAGCGAGGGGCTGGTTCTCAGGCCGCTCTTTGGCTGCAGCATCGACCTCTACTTTGCCGTCTGGCTGCAAGGCTGCACCTGACGTCACTTAGCTCGGCAATCTTGATCCAAAGTAAGACAATGCGCACTCATAGAGAGAGAGAGAGGGAATAAAAGAAAGACAGACAGAAAAATGCATCCTCTTCGGTGCTACAGCAGAAAGAATGTAGGCGTGCGCCGCTCGCACTTTCAAGATTTCCACACGAATTAGACCTTGGCTGATGAACCGCAAGGTGGAAAAGTCCGCAAGAACGGTATTCAGGGTGCCAGGGTGAAGCATCTACTACAAAGATCATTAAGCCCAAATCTTCTGCTCCAGCGGAGGTGGGTTCCGGCCTCTCCCTCCCACATCTTCCCCTCTTTCTCCCCTCACATCCCTCATGTT